GAAATCAAAAGCCTGAAAGACCTGTTGTGCAGAGTGACGCCGGTTGCTCCGCTGTCACTGGACAATCGCTGTTTGCTAACCGTACATGCGTTACTCCTCTGAACCCTGCCTTGCTCTCCCGTGCTAACCTTCATGGTGTCGCAGTAATAGGACTAGCAGCTTTTTGTCAGGAATAATATCCTTCTAGTAGGCAAAGTGCTGATGTGAATTGGCGTGGGGCTGAGCGGTCCCGAGCAGCTCATGGACTAACAGAAACAATTAACATAGTGAACTCTGTCAATGCTCCGATTCTCTCAGAGGGAGAATCATGAATTATGTATCGAGGTTTAAATACCCACATCCCCTCCGTTTTATTCCACCCGTGGCATGCAGGCCTTTTGATTATGCGTGGCATTTTTTTTGGGAACATTTTGTACCCCAGCTGGGTGATGACTGCTGTTTGGCTGAGGGCAGTTGGGACGAGCCCGCGTCCTCTTGTCACTTTTACCTGCCGGCGAGTGTGTTTCAGGTGACATTCTGGAGGTAGGTATGAGCGATCAGGGGCAGAGTTGGCGTACAAGAGAGGGCCTAGCAGGGGTTGAATGCGGTGTGTGTGTGTGTGTTGGGGGGAAGGGGAATGGGTGAGATGTGGGGAAGAAGGGGAGGGGAGGGGGAGTGGAAGCCTTGGTTTCCTGTTCCCCAAATTCCCAGCTCCTGTCTGCGGAGCAGGTACACAAAGCCTCCCTTGAAGGGTTTGGAGAGGGGCGGCAGGATGAAACGCAGCCACTGATGGTTAACAGATCTGTCCCCCTGGACGCCAACCGCCCCCACCCCCCCACGCCTCCCCTCCTCCCTTTCCTCTCACCCCCCTGCACCGCTGGCCAGCGCCCACGTTTGTTTACACTCTCCCCAGCCTTTTTTTGCATTTTCTATCCAGGCCCGGGAGCCTTGGCGGCGCTCCATGCGGCTGATTGCCATATTGCCTGACCAGAAATGTCACTTCCCACTTTGCGCTCCTTCATCCACCAGTTAAACCCTCAGTAATCCCCCGAGAAGAGCAAAGTCACCCGGATACAGAACATTTCTCTCTCCCGTCCCGGCGGCTCCTTCGTCCCCTGTACAGCCCCTCCATGCCCCAAAGATTCTTTTTTATCAACACCGCATTCATGTCTGCGCAGGCTTTTATATATTTGGAGCGATTGAAATTGTGCAGCAAAGACTTTTTGTTTAATGTCAACAACGACATATCAGGGTCAGTCTGGGTAATTCACAGACCTCGCTGTAGACAGTTCACTGGAACGCGAACCAAAGAAACTGTCGTTGACTTTGTGTTCTCGGGATTATCCAGACAACAACACTGTCACTCGCATTGAATTGTGGCTGGCAGACTAATTGAGAGGGAACACTGTTGGGGCGAGTAATATTGGCAAAAAGAAAATACTTATTTGTACATTACTTCCATCACTCAGTCGGCAGCTGCATTGGAACAACCCAAACCAGCTCTTCACATCTCGTTTAACATGCGTAGAAATAGAAAACAATCAGGTTTAGTAAGCAGCCAGACTATTGTTCTGCAGGGATTTGCTGACCATCATCAGCTAGCTTAATGTTAGCCTCTTCCAGAAGACCAGTGCTCACACTGGATTTTAGTAATCAGATATGCTGACCCTTCAAACGTGTAGGGAACCTTTTACTGGGGCGCACCATACCTCGGCCCCCTTGCCTCAGAGCACCTATACATGAAGGACTAATATTAAAACATCTTTTGCTTCTCAAATTGCATTTTATTTCATTGAGGGGTTACATAATATATCCATGTTGGTCGTATAGCTTCTTGTAAGTGTAAAATAATTAAATGAATAATTTCTGCAGCAGAATTTTAGGCTGTAAAACAGCAGCAGATTGAAAAAAAACCCCACCTACCTACAAAACAGGGTTCGCCTTCCCTTCATTTCTACTTCTAGAAAAAATAACATCAGCCGTGACTTACCGAGCAGAGACAAGCCAAGGTGGGACGCAAGGCTGTTTTATTAACCGGGTGACGTTTATTAAACTGGCTAAGAGACTCCTTCTGCTGCCAGACGAGAGGGAGAGATTGGCCCGGGTCCGAGGCCCGACTTGGGAGATCCAGCCCAATTAACACCCGAGAGGGAGGTCCATGCAAGCGCACACGTACGCACGTTCTTAGCGCGGACAAACACACATAAACACACTGCACATGCTCACCGAGCGGAGCACGCAGGGAGGTCTGGACGGGCAGCAGCAGCCAAATAAAACCTCAGGGACCAGGTAGCTCATAGCTCACAGGTAGCTGAGGAGTCATCCGCACGCACACACGCACACACACACACACACACACACACACACACACACACACACACACACACACACACACACACACGCACACACATGGTTGTAGGGTGGCCTTAGCTTTCCATATAAATCTCTGCCAGTCACCTTCAAATCGAGGGGCGTGCTGGGCCCAGTAAATGTGAGGGAAAGTGTGTGAGTGTGTGTGCGTGTGTGTGTGTGTGTTGGGCCACAGTCGCAGGTGGAGCTGTGGTGTGGTTGGGCGGAGGCAGAGCATCGCTCCAGGTCGGAGCCCCGGCCAAACGCAGCGCCACGACCTCACGGTGGTTGTGAGCCGCGGTGAGAGGTTACATGAAAGTGTGCCCTTGTTGCTGAATTCGCTTCCGTAGCCGCTAAGCTACAGCAGTTGTTGAACAAGTCATTTTTTGAATGTTAAAATAAATTCTCTGCAATCAGGTGACCGAAAAAATAAAAACAAATGAGAGAAACAACATGCCGCTGTGCGTGCTGCCAATGCATCTCAATGCTTTATTGAAACCGCACAGGATTTCTCAAAACAACGGCTTCTAGTACAAAACTGGGAATCGCCCGGGAATGCCTCGTCGGCGTGGGGGTCGTAGGCGCGGCTCCGGACGCCCCGGCCCGTTTTGGAGTTGACGCTCCAGGCTGGGATCCCGTGGCATCCACAGCGTCCTGATTGCCAGCTCTCCCTGCCCCACCCTGCCTGTCAAATCCCAGTAAGAGCCTTTTCTTTGTCTGAGAACCGGGAGGAGGAGCTGCTGTCAGTGACGGCGGGTTGCGTCCATCCTGCCTCCAGACGAGCAGCATCAGCCAAACCGGGGAATAAAGAAACGCAGACTGAAACTACTTCATAGTGTGTCCCTTTGTTTATTTGTTTTTTATCTTTCTGGTAAAGGACGGATGCTTTACGTCTCCCCCCCTTGTCTCAATCTGTGGACATCCACTCGCTCCAGAGTCAAATCCCCCTAACTTTTGACACACTAGCCGCCAAGAGGAGAACACAGGCCTATTAATAGTTATCCTGCTCATAAAAGAGATGTAGCAGATCGGGTTTTTGGGGGGGGAGTTTGATATGCATGTAATACAATATTCGTTCAATTGTTATGCACCGTCAGAGGCCCCTTCTATGGAAATCTGCATGAAATCACTGTCTGGGCAAGGTCGTAAATCACCAATGGCGTTGTTTATTATTGCAGTACAGTTTTATGGAGGGCGGGTGCTTTGCTGGGACGTCCCAGAGAGGAATGCCCGACAGAGCACCAGCTAGGTAATGGCCCCTTTATGTCCGAAAGGGGGGTTGATGGGAGTTCAGTGGAGATCGGGCCTTTTGAGAATTACATGGTTAACGCGAAGCGGCGTTTAAAGCACGGGAACGCCAATATCTAGCAAAAGCAAGCTCATGACACGTTCAGTGGATCTGCAACAACATCAGAGGAGGATAAATCCCGACAACGTCCAAAGCTCCAAAGGGTTGTAAGTCAGACACAAGCCTTAAAAAAACGACCTCGCTCTCATTCTTGTACCCCTCAGTTCTGCACGCGCAGCCAGAGCGGCTGGCCGACGAGCCGCAACACCCACTTTTTCTTCTACAAAACGTCTGGTCTGGTCGTGTCTGAGTTCCTCTGCCAGGTCGCTGAGCATCGGGAAAACTTATCAAAGAGAACAGACCTCTATTCTATGCTTCAGAGAGAGAGAGACGCTCTCCCCTCCGAGAAAGACAGTCGGCCAGTCAGGACCACAGACACCACTCAGTCTTTCAGCTGTTCGCATGTGGAAAAAGCACATTAGGGGGCATTGTGCCGGCACATTCCGGCGGTAGCGGCCCGACTTGCTTTGTCCAGCCTGGCAGACGTACAAGCCTCACCCCGGCCTTCACTCGCACTCCATCTCAAAGCATAATTGATCTGGATATTAAACGGGCTGTGCTGCTCTAAAAAAAGAAAAAAAAAGGAAAAGTATTCCACACACGTTTAATTCTCCAATGTGGTTTCGGAGGCCGGACACTCTCTTCCCATTCCGGGTTAGTGTTTCACACTGCCTCAGACGTGACCAACTCAAAATCTGCATCATAAATATTTTTCATGTGTTATTTAATCTAACTGGGCTCTCTATGATTGTGAGTTGTTTGGTTTATGTTAATTACACGTGGAGGCACCTACAAAGACTCTGCTATGAGGGCGGGGCGATCACAAATACTGGGCTGAGCATCGGACTTCTGGAGCCTCGTGAATGTGAGACGCTCATTTTACATTGTTGAGGCCCTCGGGAAAATCTAGCATCTTCTCACAGGAATTATGAAAACAAATGTATAAATATATTATATATATATATATATATATAACAGAAATTAAGTTATTCCTAAACAAAAGCAGTCGTAGCAACGTTAAACTAATATTTCATTTTTACTAGATATTGTGCACATTTAAAAGATGTCATTAGGATGCAGGGGTGCAATGTTGTTTGGTCTAGACCTGCAGCAGCTCCAGTTTCTGTTTGCCTCCTTGTAGGATTAGTGGTCTCTAGACACTGGATGGAAAGAGTCAAATTATTCTAGTAATATTAACACATAATTGAAAGTAGTTAAAAAAAAAAAAAGAAAAGCGAAAGTAGCGCTTTCTTTTTTTTCCACAATATTCTAAATAACTTTCACATCGTATATATAAATAGAAAAAAAATCAGAGGGCAAGCTGTAACAGTTCACAAATCAGTTTTATTAATTTAAACACAATCAAATAATAATGTCAAAAACATCTGTACACATATTTTGCAGACACAACAATCGTTTGCGTTTCACAATGAGGCCCACGTATTGTAAAGTATTTCCAGTTTGCATTTATGTTTGCAACACAATAAAAAAAGCGTGCTGTATGAATCTATAAAACATTTCCTCTAGTTTACCTACCATTACCTTGGTCTAGCAGCAATATGTAGATACCCCCCCGGAGAGCGGGGGAAGAAGTTGTTTTGAGAAGATGGGGAGGAGTGAGGGTCGTTAGGGGAGGGAGGGAGGGAGGGAGGGAGGGATCCAAATTGAAATGTAAAGGCCAACAGTGATCATGTGCAAAGGAGGGAAAATTAGACACACAACGAATGGGTTTCTGTTGAAGAAATTCACAGTCGATAGCACGCATCCTGTACGTTCACAAACCCCAAGTTAGTGGCTTTTCTTTCAAATGGTAATAATGGTTTCCCCATCCACAGACGTAGAAGCATTATGCAGAGGGATTTATGTCTTAAAACTATTTCAAAGTGGGATACAGAATGTATTTTAAAAGTTGAAATAAAAACACTACATCATACAAAGTTAGGCTTGCTGTACAAGTTGTTATAGCGCTTGTATAAAAGATAATAAAACCTATCCAAGCCTGCTTGCTTGTCAATTAATTTTATTTTTTGTTAAAATGGCCTTCAGGAGGGTGGAAATTGTGAGTTTTCTCACACACCATATCCCAAAAACATCAGAATTAAGTTTGCTTCCAAAATGAATGGGGTTGGGGCTGCAGGCCGGGGAAATGCCGTAAGGACAAAGGTTGTGAGCTACCGTTCTGAATACCCCTCTCCAAAAAACCCACCAAATATCTCATTCCCTTTCAAATATGAATCTAAAGGGACCTGCTGTGTTGCATCAAGATGTGATCAGAAGTTTCCTGGGAGGACGAGAAACATCGCAGAATCAAATGAAAGGTCATTGACACTTGACATCCATGCTTTTGGTCTTGACAAAACAATTTATCACAAAATCCCATTATCTACATATCTGTTTACTGAACAAAACTTCAACACATCAACGCTTTCAGGCTTTGCACAAGCTCACGTGCGATGGGAGGCTTTTAGTATTATTTTTTTTTTACAATGAAAAAGCATCGGCACCTTTCAAGAGCACGTACCTAAATGAATATAGGAAGGAATAGTCCAGTGATTACAAACTTACACACACAAAAAAGATTTCCTCTATACACGATTGTCTCAGCATTGTAGATAAAGTTTTTGTAATTTTCCTTAAATATTTAGAAAACTCCCCTTATTTTTTTTTCATTTCTTCTACCAGTCGTCTCGCTCTCGCTGCGGTGTAAATCAATTGGGCACTTTGTAAAAAAGGCACGAGTCTTTTGTTCGCCGATGTGCCTCCTCTGCGGCACGGCGCCACTCACACAAGTCTCCGTTCATAAATAACAAGGACAGGACTCCGACAGGCCGACGGGGGGGGAAGGGGGGGCAGAGGAGCGCTCGCTTTCCGTCTGTCGAGGACGCTAGAAACGCAGGCAGACGGACGAGAAGGAGACCCGTCGCCCCCAGTAGTCGTGGGCCTGCGGCCGTTGCTGGAGCTCGAGTTTCGCGCGCGAGGCTGTCGGTAGCTCTGCTCTCCTCACAGGTGTGAACCCTGAAAGAGTCCCGGGCACAAACAGTGGGATGGGGGGGGGGGCGTGCCGTAAAACACTTTGACGGCTTCAGAAAAAAACAAAACGGCCGATTCACAGTAACCAGGGCAAGCAGCTGCGGCGCCGTAAATTCACCTCTCTCTCACTCGCTTCCAGAGAGAGAAAAATCAAAGTTTAGGGTTAAGACGAAGCGTGGCCGAATGTCAGCACATTTACCGCGTGCTCGGCCTCTTTTCTTTTCTTTCTTTTCTCCCTTCCTCAATTCTCCCCTTCGTTTCTTCCTGTGTAGTGGAAGACAGACGCCAGGCAGCGCGGTGGGGAGTAGGGGGGGCGGGGGGTCAGCGGAGGGGGAAGGGGGGCTGTTTTCTGAGCTGGGTCTGTGGCAAGCGTGGGAAGGGGACGCAGGACCGACGGTGAAAGGTCGCAGGGTGTGCTGAGGCGGAGCCGGGGTGAGGTGCTACAAGTACTCCAGGTCCAGCGCGTGGTGCAGGGCCATGAGGTCTGAGTGGCTGGAGATCCTCCAGAAGGGCATGTTGTGCTGAAGGGAGGAACGACAAAGGTTTTATTTAAAGCACACTTTATAAGAAGATAAATCACTATATTCAAGAAATATAGATCCTAATCAGATTTGTTTAGTTTTTTTTCAACTTGTGGTCGGACGGAAAAAAAAGCAAATTAGAAGATGTGACTTTGGGAAACCGCCATGTGCATTTTTAAACTGAGTTGACCCTCAAAAAATAGCGGCCATATCAATCAATAATCAAAGAAAAAAACCTCGCTGGCAGCCCATCTAAGCACTTGCAAGAAGTTCAAAGCGGACGGTTTACACCATGGCTAATACATTCAGCGGAGGGAGAAAGCCAGGTTCTCTCACCGGGAAAAGCAATCATATCAATAACGCGCGGCGTCTGCGCCCGCCCGCTCCCTCCCCCGTGCAAAGGGTCCGCGCGGCCAAACAGGGCCTCCATCCGATTCCTCTCATGCATCAACATGCCGTTTTGCACCAACCAAACTAATCAAGCGGCGGTCTCTCTCTCTCTCTCTCTTTCTCTCCGACCTCAACAGAAAAGGAACAAACAGAAAGGAACACCCCCCGTTCCCCACCCCACACGGGGTTCCTCCCGCCAGCCAGTGTGTGTTCGGGACGGTGCGAATGAGCCGCTGTTCCCCAAGCAGAGGACTGGGAGTGTGTGTGTGTGGGGGTGGGGGGGGGGGATAAGGGGGGGAAACCCGAGTCGCAGAGAATGAAAAGAGCTTGTCAGGTAGAGTCCCGGGCTCCTCAGTGTGCGGAGCCCATTACGCTCCCCTTATCAAAGGTATGGCCTCTCCCAGGCATATGTTCCGCTTAGAGGAGCCTGCACTGACCCTTAAAAAGCTCTTTGCTTTTTGTTTTGTAAATTGTCTTTGCTTTTAAGTTTAAAAGCTGCCGATGCTATCTCTGCCTCCTCTCCCAGGCCAAGGTAATAACTGAAGGCAGAACTGTTTCGGGGATTGTGGATTTTTCTTTTTTTTTTCTTTTTTTGGAATGAGGGCCGAGAGAACTTTTTCAGACGTTCGCTTTTGTAGTTTCACACAGTGTCACGTCTGATGTGTGCCTCCTGACGGGTGTAATTGTTGTGTTATTCCAAGTCCTCCCTGATGTTGACACAGAAACCTTTTACCGCATGCCGTGTCGTGGGACTCACAGCGCTCAGACGGAGGGGAAATAAAAACGCCTTATCCTTCCATCAATGTCCCACTCCGACGACTCAAGACGGGGAGATCTGCATCTTTTTCCACAATCGTCCCTCAAGTCCTTATTCCCGAGGCGTGTTTGCTTTCCGCAATACGGAGCTATTGATTTTCACACTTCTCCAGGGTTACAGGGTTGCTACGTCTTCCATGATCGCTCTTCGTCTGCCCTCGCGCCTCTCCTCGCTGTTTACCGAAAACCAGGTGAAAGGGGAGCCGGCGGCTTTTCGAAAAGGGGAAAAATCCGCGTCTGCATCCTGACGCCGTGGCTCACCGCAACTGTCGGTGAACTGTGTTCCTAAGCCGTTGATTAATTGGCTAATGAAAAAACGCCGAACGTGCGAAACTGCATAGGCGAGAGACCCGACCGGGCAAGACGCACCCTGAACGCATACCCCGTCCCGCCGACAGGCTCTGCAGTAAATATTCTAATTTCCCTCGACAATGGTTTGAGTCCCCTTTATGCGCGCCCCTCTTAACAACGTGCCTTCAATGGGTCTGAAAGGGCACCGAGCGGGAAATATATAATTATGCCATCTACCCTCCCCTGCTCTGTAAACCTGAGACGGCGAGGGGAAGAGCGCTGATTACACACCGCGCACTTTCTCTCTTGTACTCGGACGCCGTATAAGAGGATAAACCAATGAAAGTAAAGTTGGACTGTGTGAGTAGGACGGAGCGAGAGCGCTGAGCCCTTTCTTTCTGGAGAAGTATAGCAGGTATGTTTTGTGTTGTCCAAGCATTCACGATGAACTCCTGACCCTGCAGAACATTTGCTTTTCTCCCATCCCGGTGTATTTCTGGTGGACTCAACGTGTGTGCAGTGTGTGCTGTCATGTTGTTCCAGAGCTTCTTACCTTTTTCGAGCCTTGCTCCTCTTCCACGCCATCCCCGACAACAATGTAAACAACTTTCCTCCCGAACCTCTGGATCACTCTCTCAAAGCAGCTCTCCTTCCCTGTGGGGGGGGGGAGTCAACAGCGGGCCGTTAGTGGAGCGTCGGGTGGAAGCAAACGGATACGAAGGCGCTCGAACTGGAGCCGCGCTAAACGCCGTCGAGTTGGTTCAAAGGCACCCGCTTTAAAAACGCACCGCACGTCCCAAAGTGGGCAGAGTGCAAAACACTTTGAGCTCAGCGAGGAGATGTGATGAGATCGGCCCTACGGATAAAGGCAATCTGAAAAGCATTAACTGGGCCCTGCTCCCCAAACAGGGGACAAATGGACTTAAATCAGCCCAGGCCACCCTTGCGTGGCACAGGCTCCGGTTAGGAGGACCAGCGCGCTTAGCGCTTCGAGGACCCCTGAGCTCACACTCGCCTCCAACTCTGATGGGCCCGAAAACGATGTGGGAGTGAAGCTCTGTGTTTATTTTGCATTTGAAGCAGTGGAGAAACGGGAAGGGACAGGAGGGAAGGGGGGGAGAAGGAGGAAGAGCGGGGGGCTTATAGCTGTGGAACGACATAAATGTGCAGAAGTGGTTTCATATGCAGAAACTGAACAGGAGAGGCCCAGGAAATAATCCCAGGCCTGATTTGGGCCTGTTCCTTCATAGAAGAACATCAACCCTCTCCGGTGATCTCCCGCCCCTCCCCCCCGTCCACGCCTCCGTCCTATCACTGAGGTAGCACGTGTGTCTTAATTTGATACACTCAGCCAGGCTAAAACAACAAGCATTAATGTCCCGCGGTGATAGATTGATCACATGGGACGAAACAAGAGAGGATTCAGAACCCACATTTACCTATTTTGGTTGCACTATAAATATTCTCGATAGGAAAGACAATCCCCAAGCCGTAGAGCAGGACCTTGGCCAGCGCGGGGATGAGCTGCGTGGTGGTCACCAGGATATTCACACAGTTTGACCTGCGTGGGGGGGAAGAGGGGGACAGAGGGAGGAGAGCAAAAGGGATGACATCATTTTACATCGCTCCGAGGGAGGACTAAAGAAAACACAGCGTGCGGCAAAATGTACAGACGCCGCAATGTGTCCGATGCTTCAAAACATTGAGCTTTGACTTTGAGGTGGATCTCCATGCACACTTTCAAATGCAAGACGACAAAGGCGATCCCGAAGAGCGCTTTCTTTAATAGTTTTAGGTGCATGGAGTTGACGTATTCACACCACGTGACAGTTTATATATGTACGGTACTGGGACTGGGTACAATGTTCCTCACTGGGATTCCTACCTTGAGTGGATTAATGTTAGTGCTTTCAGTGCCAGTGTTAACCAGGAGTCCGTCAAGGCTTCAATTTCTGCTCGCAATTGCAACCAGGCTTCCCTTTTGGCTGGGCCCAGCAGACCTAAAAACGCAGGGGGAACATTGTTTGGGTTGGACCGGCCTTCAGAATACCACTGAAACAGTCAGAAATGTACCCCTGACCATAGTGGCGTGGCATGTGCGCTTTTAGAGCGCGCGCGCGTGTGCCGACGTCCACGCACACGGCGGCACCCGCACATCTGCAAACTCATTTTTTTCGACAGATCTTCACAGAGCAGCGCTGCTTGTTGGGGGAGGAAGAGGGGGAGGGGGGATTACCTCCGACGTTGTTTTTGTAGGTGGTGTAGATTTCTTTTACTCGTCTGTAGCGGAAGGCCAGCTTTCTCATCCAGTCCACGCCTCCCCGCACGCCCGTGGCCAGACACAGATTGGCGCTGGTCGCCGCGGCGTGGAAACCGTCAGCGCCGAAGTTATACGTGCTGAGGCGCAGACGGAGAGAAGAGAAAAAAAGAGGGCATTCGGTCAGCGCAGGCCGAGCCGAGCAAACGGCACAGCGCGTTCTGAGGGTTGGCGCCGGTGTTGTACCTCAGGTCCTGGCCGTTGTCATCGGAGGACACGTCGTCGATATGTACCTGGTCACATTCCTGAAAGACACGAAACACACAATTTGATCGGGGTTCACACCTTCTTGAAGAGGGGCAGGTCACTTTTAGGGAAGTTTCCTTTTTTGGGAAAGGACTTTCCCCACATGTTCCTTGTAATTCCTCACGAGAAACAGCACACGCATTCAGGAATTTGTGCTTTTGGCTGGACACCTCGTTCTTAATCCCATTCGCCTTGGCTCTCGCTTTATATCCTTTGAAGAAGTCCTCAACTCATTTTTCTTTGCCTTTTTCTCATACCAGCTCTGACCTTGTCATTAGTGGACTGCGACCACTAGAGGGGTCTAAAGATATGCACACGCACAGACATAATTAAGCCTCAATCCAGCAACTCCGACTGGCATTCAAGCGAGTCGTGTCTGCGACGTACGCCGGCTAACGGAACGTATAAAGAGCCATGAAGCACTTACCGCCTGTGCATGTGTATGCGTCTGTGTGTGCATCTCTAAACACATGTGCACACACCCCACTTCCCCTTTGAGGGGGGTGCAGGGGGGCGGCTCCTCTTGGAAAGGTAGAGGGATTCTGCAGCTCTGCTCTGATTCCGCCGGTACACAGTAACACAATCCAGACTTTCTGGCAAATGTAACCTACTAGAAAAATTGAACCCGATGCTAACCGCCAATGAAATTATGACCCCTGATTGCTGCCGCGCCACACACCAACACGGCCCCGGGGCCAGTCAGCCGGCAAGAGAGATCGCAGGAGAAAGCAGAGAGAAAAAAAAAAAATCTGTTATTAGTTTTCTCCCATTTATATGGGCGAGCCGTAGCGCCCCCCCCCCCCCCCCCCCCTTCGTCGCCTCTCTCCCGTCCCCCCTCAGCCAGCTGAAATGTGAGGGAGTCCTGCCTTGGCATTGAGATCAACACATCTCAACTGGGACGGGGCGGGAAGAGGCTAGCAGACCTTGTTTTCTTGTTTGCTAAAACCTGTGGTGGCTGGGAGTGGTTTTAGCACCGTTCTTGTGCAAAAGGCTCTGAAGCTGATTGTGACGTCACACTCTTAATTTGTCAACCCCGGAATCTAGAATGAATAACAGACAGCGTGTCGATATCTCTATTGAATTTATCCAGAAAGCTCCAAGTACGAAACGTGCCGTGTAGCCGCCAACTATTTTGTGAGCCTCACCTGTTTAAAGTTACGCTAGAAAAAATAATTTCTCATGGAAATCGAATCTTGAGGGGGAGAATTCCTCCCTTCCTCGAGTATGAAAAATCCCTCCCGTTTATGTAAGCTTTTTAATTAACTTCCATCCGGCTGTTAAGACACCAAAACACAGAAAGGACTTCCTTGTTTTAAGTCAATCTAACCGAGGCCAAACGCTGACGTTATTGCATTCCTCTGCAATGCTGGAGCAGGGTAAGGGTAAGGGCTTTGGACTGTAAACCTTTTTTATTTTACTGGTTCCCCTCTGAACAAATTTTTCATCTCCCTGGATTTGTGGGGAAAGGGAGGGAAGAGCGAAGTGAGGAGAAACTCAAACCAGCTGTTCTTTAACAGAATTAAAATCTTGACCCCCCCCAACCTCTGCTCTAATGCAGCCATTCTCTCGCCAAACCTCTCCCAGCAAGCCCTGAGATCCAAAGAGGAAAAGACTTTGACCCCGTGACCCCTTCTCTCCTCCCCTCCTCTCCGGGGCTCCGCCACCCCGATAACGGGGGGGGGGGAGGGGGCTAGAGAGGTGGAGATGGTGGAGAGCAGTGGTGTAAAGGCTGGGGGGGGGAGAGTCCAGAGTGACCTCACACGGAGCGAGCGCTGAGCCCCACAAGATGGACTGCCAATTGCAAATGGGGTGCTGGCGGGAGGAGGAGGAGGAGGAGGAGGAGGAGGAGGAGGAAGGCGGGGGGGGGGGGGCGGGGGGGCTCTCAGCTCCGTTGGCCTAATCTCTTTTTGGACAATCACCGGCAGATCTTTAATAGTTGAAGAAAGCGGCAATTTGTCCCGGCTTGGAGATTTGCTGCCAACAAATTTGCAGATAATCTATGTTTGCGAATCATCCCCGGATTTCTCTTCTCGGGGCGAAACCCGGGCCAGATGTATCGACGTGATTAATTTATTAAGTAAGTAGTGGAGGCATGTCAGTTTGTTTAGGAAAACAAAAACTGCACGCTGGCTTAAGCGCCTCGTAAAGCCTTCTTTCAAAGCATTGTGGGGCAGGTGACTGGAATGCTTCATGTTATCCTGTAATTACTTTGCCGGCGAATCAGACACAATCAGCCGACAGCAAAGCACTCGTTTGGTACGTCATTGGCTAATTGTACGCTGTCTCCTGGTACCTTGTTAGACAACAATAGTCCCCATGTTTGTTCTTCCCCTGTAATGTGTTTCTTTCAGAGTCTGACAGCCAGCGTGGCTCAAAAGCAGCTATGTGAGAAGCATACTAGTCATCATGGTAATTATGGGCCTGGGTGCCAGCGCGAGAACTCCGACATGACCTGAAACACATAAATATGTCTCAGTAATTAGGCCTAACTGTGCCTAATTATAATTGCTGCCTGATTGTGAATGATTTTTCATGGACTTTTCCCAAATTCCTTAAAGCTAATAAACACATCGAACCTCGATAAATGTGGAAGTGTTAAAAGAATATTCAAACAGCCAAGGAAAATACACCTTACTCCTTACATTTCCGTAGATTTTTAATTGTGTAATTATTACACATACCACAATGCTTAATTAACTGAGCGTTTTTGATATGTCTTGTTTGAATAAATAGGGAGGGGGTTGAAAGAATGCACAGACTCCAACAATTACTGTTCCCAGCTGGGGCCTGTTGAAACCTCTGCACCGGCTAAGGGAAAGCTAATGGTGGAGTTGGCTGTGGGCAATGTTGTACAGTAACCCTGACGCAGACTCATTAGGAGGCACTTGAAGGCCTCGTAAACACCACAGAGCCGTGGACGGTGCAGGTTCAAGTCGCATAGTCGTATATAAAGTGGTGAACTCTGAAATGCCAAATAAATAAAACGTGTGTGGAAAAATGAGAATAAGGTTAAAAGAAAAGTAAAAACAACCTGTCACATAAAAAGTGATAAATATAGAATTTTTTCTGTTTTACTACTGTTGGCCTGGGATAAATTATATCCTAAATATGCTCGCAAGACTTTGTTTAAAAAGGAACGAATCATCATCAAGTCACCGAGTCATTGGAAGCTTAAAGAAAAAGTCATTTTGCATGAAATGAACAATAACATGACAGGGCTCCAACATGGTGGCACTTTAAGGGGCAGTCAATTTCTTAGAACTTTTGGAACGCGCTTTTTTCTGTCAACCCCCCCCATCACCGAGCAAACAGCGGTCTCTCTAAAACCGACATCACCACTAACTCCCTCCAGATGTTCCTACTGTAGTCAGGAGTGAAGACCCTCCACCAGAATCCATCGCAATTACTCCTTAAGCAAACACCACATCTCTCATGGTAAATGTATCAGCGGCATTCTTCCCTTTCCTTATCTGAGCCACCAAGCAGTCTGCAGCTCGACGGGCGGAAAGACGCCAAAGAGATGCTCAGCTGACGCCTCCATCTCTGCATCGCTCACCCTCGCTTCCTCTCCCCCGTCTCTGTGTCTTTCCACCGGTCCGCTGAAAGCCATCAGAGCCCCCTTTGTTCGCACGCCATCTGTCGCTGAGCAATCAGCGAGGACGGGCCGGCGTCTTCCTGCGGCCCCCGGAGATGGAGCTCCGGGTGGCGACTGCGCCAGTCAGAGCCCGGGTGAAGAGAAGAAAAGGCGCCCGGCAGGTTTTGCGATGCGGGGTTTCCAATCCGGTCAGTGTCCACTTGTTAGGTACGACCCCCCCCCACCTTCTCATCCTCTCGCAGGTGAGCTGCTGGGGCGGGGGTGGGTGGGTGGTCACATGCGCAGCGTGAGCGCTAACAGCCGTCATCACAGCGTTCCGTGAGACCCTGCAGGCTAATGCCATGTGAAAAAGGCTCATCTGTGGTTCGCAAGTTCTCAATGCCGCCACTCCACCGGCAGTGGCTGTCATCCCCCCCTCTCCCCTCCGCGGTCTGTGACCCCCAGCAACTTCCTTTTCTGTTCCCACCACAGGCACCCCTGTCCTGAAAGAGAGGCGGGGGGGCTGTGATTACCTGGGGGTCAAACACAGGATGTGAGTAACAAAGGGAGAGTTCTTCGAACCCACTTCATTCCAATCCACAATCTGTGCTTGAACAGCCACGGAATTCAAACAGCGGCGCCAAACAAAGCGCAGGTACAGGGGAGTGTATGCTGGTTTCACCAAGACTCACACGGAAACAGGGAGTGCGCTTTGCTCAGGAACACACTGCTTATTTTAAGTGGCAAGTGTAATGACTGGGAAAGTTGGGCGTAAAAAAAAAAAAAATCAGATAGAGAATGAACAGTGTGAATTATTTATGCGTGATGGATAAGCTGCTTCTCATTATTCCCAATTTTTCGCGCTCAAAGTCCAAACCGCATCTCAGGGAGAGCGACATTAATGCAATTTTACATTTCAGTCGTTTCAGCATTTTCCCCCTTCGGAAACAAAAGTATCCACAGAAAAGCTGTTTATTCAGGGCAAGAGGACTGTTTCTGATCATGCTGGGCAGGTGCTCTTTATTTTTCAGGACAAGAAATCTATTCTCAAACGTCATCATTTGTCAACAGACAGCCCTGTTACTGGAGCCCCGTTGGTGCGACTGCGTCAGTGCGGCGGAGTAAAGGTCGGGGGCTGAGGTGGAGCTCCGTGGAGTGAAGATTGACAGGGTGGCTTGGAAACCCTCGCCGCTCTCTCTGTAGTCCTTCCAAAACACATCAAACCTCGAGATGTGATGGAGTTATGTCGAGGAGCATGACAGAAGCGCTGCATCGGAGGCCAAGGCGCATGACGAAAGGGCCGCATCAGTGTGAACAGAACTAAAGAAGCCCATCTGACAAAACACGACGTGCGCGGGAAACGGCCCCAGCAGCATGCTGAATAGATGGAAAAAAAAAAAAAAACGGTTCTCGATGGGTTGCTCAGTTTTCACGTGTTATGATAGCGTTATGGAATCATGAACGAAAGCCTGTGGCACAAAGCCGCAGTGTACAGTCAGACTTTCGCTTCACGATTCGGCGAACGCCACAGTTCGCATTATGTTTCCTCCGTGCTGTGAGCGAAACCCAAAGAAAATACCATCGAGGAAACGGCCATAAAGCTACCGGTCATATGGACGGCGAGTGTGCAGCATCCAACTCGACAGCGGGACATTAAACCAACAGAATGACTCCGCGCGCTAAGAGGCTCCGGAGGGTCGTTTCAGCCATTAACACGCCGCCCCTGGGTGGGAGTGACAGAGGAGGTTTCAACCCCCGCGACCGAGGCTGGGAGCTATAAAAGGGAGTCTGCTCACGGTGTCACAAGGTTGCTCCACAGGTGTGTTTGTGTGTGTGTGTGTGTGTGTGTGTTTGAGAGTCATTATGTTTGCGTGTCTTAAGAATTTGCGGCACAACATGGAGGGTCTCACACAGCGCGGAGGCATCAGCGGACTAATTTAAAAATGTTCCCACCTTTAGAGACCCCCCCCCCCCCCTCTCTCCTCCCCTCTCTCTCTGAGTGGTTTGCCCCCATGCCCTTTATCCTCCAGACAGGGGGAGGGGGGGTTGTTTTCTCACCCAGGGAAGGGGGAGACGGCAGGCCAGGGGGTGAGAGGGGCCCCCGGGTTCCCACATGTGGCGCGGCGTTAGCGCACCTACAGTAAACTCACACCCTGAGTCACCGCAGAGCCGTCAGTCTTCCAGGTGAGCGGCGGCCTCGGCGGGCTTCATTATACACCTCAGACCATCAATTAACTCCACATGCAGCCGCGCTGCTGTTAAAGTGTAGAGGCGAATGTATTATATTTCAATAATATGATGGAAGAGCAAACAAATGTTCTGGATAAATTACCTGTGGAGGTGCATTCTTTTGAAACACATTTTTATTCAAAAGAACAAATAGGAAATTCTCAAAAAATAATGTAGTAGGCGATTTGGTATAATAATTTGTTTTAAATGGAACATTCATTTTGTGTTTATCACCGGGATCGTATTGCCTTGAATGACTTGCCTAATACTCCAGTCCGAGCGTTATTGAGGTTTAAACAGACTGTGCTGTTCATACAAACCTACAGGCATCTTTTAAAGGGGCTGAAGCGATTTGATTTGAGCGTGGGGAAAGGGAGGGGAGGTTTTTTGGGGAATGCGGCGGTATTTTCTTAAGGACGCAGCTTCAATTCTATGGTGAATAAAAACCCTTTTTTTTAAAAGAGAGTGCTGATCCTTCTAAGGGGTCAGAAGAGAGAGAATGAGCGAGAGAGGGAAGAGTGAAACTGATCCCCGTTGACCCCATTCCGTGTGCCCTCTCTCTTTTTATGACTTTCCTCAGAATTGTCACTCACCAGCTCTATCAACGCTCTCCTGCCCCCCTTCGCACACGCAACACGGCTCTAGAAGGCGGAGCACAATACCCTGATTAATTGTGATGTTTAGAGGCTTGTAAACAAGCCATGAGAATATAAAACGTATGAAAAACTAACATTTAAAAAATGATCTGTTAGTGAATAAATCCATATTTCCACATCCCATATTTACAGTTTTTGTGCAGAGGCGGGCAGGACAACAGTGTTAATTCTTTGATGGACCACTCACGCACACACACACACACACACACACAGTCAGGCTACTAACTCTGCACCTGTGTTTCTGCACAGCCTCCTGGGTCTCCCTTTATGGCTTAGACTAAATTAGACGGACCATATGCATTTCTGCACATGCTTAAATACATAACTGCTCCCGGGCCGTGGTATTTATAGTTGGACTCTATTTGGCTTCATCTGAGATGCAGGGCTGTAAATCAGCGCAGAGGAAACACGACTGGTTAGGCTTTGCTGAGAACTGGCACTTAACACTCGGACTGCGCCAGCTCGGTTCAAGAGGAGAGATCAATACGCCTTCAAGTGAATGCCGTTCCTCCGCCGGTATAATGGAAAACAATCATCGAGGCGCCTGCATCTTTAAATTGGACGTTCTAAAAAGGCATTCTTGCAGCGGACCACACGTTGCTCTTTTGGTTATAATACGGCTCTAGTCTTAGCTGGAAAATGTCTACAGCCTTAAAGTGTCAGAACAAAATGGAGTTATTTTGTCACTGAGATAGAGCAGAAGAAAAATAAACGTGTCGCATTTTACAATCATTTCATAAGCAGCCCGGGCTGCCAATACTTATGTCTGTGGACGGTTTTCATCACACATGAAACGGAGTCAAAACACAGGACAGATGTTGCGCAAAACCACATTTAAGCGTTGTCACAAACTGCCTTTTTTTTTCAAATGATTGGGGCACATCTATTAAATAACGCGCAGCCACAATGGATTCTACATGGCCGGGGCATAAGGAAATATTTAACCAGTCAATTGCAGCCAATTAACTTTGATCACGATGACTGCGTTTGGCATCTCAGTCACTCGTCTGTCTGGGAGAGGACGAGTGTTTTCTTTCCCTGTCTTTCTCCCCTGCTCCCCCAGTTATTTCCTCCTTCTTGGGTCGAACACGACGGCGACTAATGAGACTTGGCAGACCGGCCCGCGGATCTCTTCACACTTAAGTATCAAGCAAAACATTTCCTCCACCGTGAGGTCAGCGTGAAGCGGGACACGGAGGAAAAGTGCCTGGTCAGCGGGATCAGATTCAGCGGGAGAAAGAGACTCAGAGGAGGAACATGAATTGCAAAAAATGAAAGAAAATCATAGACGGAGGATTGGAAAGAGACATAGTGTTGAGGGATATAACGCGTGATGAATTGCTTTGTTTATTGTTAGATAGTGACGAGTACTGGTGCTTAGCCCGTTGCAACATCTGGATCTGGGACACTTAATGTAAATGTTATGTAAGGAGAAAATGTGGCGCACACTTTTCTGTACGTACATTCTGAGCCCATAAGCGTCTCTGACCCTGCAGGGGTCTTCTACCTCCCCCCCCACACACGCACTACCTACCCTTGATCCCCTCTATTCCTGTGCCCCAGGGGCAGATTTTACACTCGCCCTGCATGAATCACGGAGAGTGGGTGGGGGGAGGGGGGGTGGTGGGGGCTTCATAACGTGACGCTCGGGTCTGGGGTGCACGCGGACAGCCCCCCCGGACATACAAGCATGACCCGGCGGGGAAGAGGGTGCGGGCCCCCAGAAACTCCCGAGCTTGAACAATTGACGAGGCCGCTATGGAATGGAAAGAAGCCGGGGGGTTTTTTGGGTTTTTGGGGGTTGGGGGGGGGGCGGCAGCTCTGGTGACCCTGGAATGACGGGGGCTGACAGCACACGTACAGCTCATGGTGGCTGAGGCAATGCACCATGGGACGGGCTCCCTGCTTTGAAGCAGTTGTCGGTGCTTTAACTAAAATCTTGACGGACTTGTTCCTTCGAACAGAAGGCGTTCGGGGGGGGGGAAGGCGCGTGGAAATTGACTCACCTCCAAGTCGTTAAAGAATAGGTGTGTGTCGGCCAAGTTGAAGATCATCTCTTCCATCCTCAGGCCTAATGATACAGATGACGGAGGATCCTGGAAAATGGACAAAAAATGATTATCTCATTTAAAGATCTTTCCTCTGGTGACTCTGTTCCATCTGTGGGGGTTAACGTGAAACAATAAAGAACGCTGTTCCCTGTAAATCACTCAATTAACACGGAATCCCTTTAAATTCCTCAGCGGGCTGTTCCCATAAAAAGAAGACATTAGGTGGACTTGAAAGTTTCAGCCTCTGTTTACGACTCTCTCTGAAAGCGACAAGAGTAGTCGTCAGAAACGCCACGGACGTGAACGAATGCAGTAAAAGCACGTCTCCTCTTGGGAGGGGTGGGCGATATGAAAGAGGTGGGGGTCACGGTCTTATCGTAAATAGACCGTTCCTCCCATACATGTGCTGATCTGATTGTCTCCCTTCCTTAATTTCTCCCCCTGTGAATCGACATCTAAAATAATAATTTATAATTCAAAAATCATAATGCAGCGGACACAAGCTGCCACTTTTTCCTAAAACCACGATCTCTGTGATTAATGGGACATGTGGCGTAATGGTGATAGGGTTGCATTGTCTGTAAGATAATACCCAGACAAGAGTCAACTGCATTGTAAATAGTTAATGAGCCTGTGACAATGCCTGACATTTTCCTTTCAAAAAGATACTCAATTTTGAAAAAGTCTTCAGGGCGTCTCGGCATTAACATAAAAGTACACACTGTGTGTGGTCATGTGTCACATTTATTCCGAAGATCCCCTACCGCTTAACATTATTACCATAAACAACATACAAATCATGCTACAATTAATGTCTGACTGTCTGATAGTTGAGCTACAATTCTTATCTTTTTGTTGCACATATCGAATGCCCTTTCTTAAAAATCTTTAATCTTTAATCAACTGATTGTCTTCGGCGAGCAAAAGGACAAAGGGAGACAATAGCGGGCAGCGGAGGAGGATTGTCTGCGGCCGGGTGAGACTGTGAGACTGCATTCAATACGGGACCAGAAAGAAGGATTACGGAGCTAAACCACCTAAAGACACGCCGGAGCTTTCTGCTGATTAACTGCCACACCCCACAATGCTTATGTGTGCAGTAAAACGACAGCGGACAACCCACACAGGTAGACCTCAATCCCCACTTGTCTCCCGCCTCTTAACCTCCTAGTGCCAATCAATCTTTCACCCAGAGTTCATCCAAAATAATTAAGCCTCCCACATCAACCCGCTAGCGGCACCCTCTCCCCCAAATGTCTTCCGCCGCTGTTGGTTGCTTTAGCATAAAGGGCCGCTTTAGTGGGGAAACAGGCAGAGAATCCTTTCCCATTAAATCCAAACAATCAGCCAGTGAGGGAGAGTTAAGAATATACGAGCAGGCCAGAAGGCCAAAGTGCTGCTGCTGTCACTGCTCCGGAGAGCCACCTGTCCCCAGACGTCAGTGCCATCCGCAAGGGGCGCCAAGACCCCCCTCCCCCTTTCCTACGAGCCTCTTACCAATAACAACCCCCCCCCCAACACTTTAAGCTCTGGCTCTGGCAAGCCCAATAGCGGCACAGCTGGCCTCAGCCGTCAGCTTTATGGGGGTGAGCTGCCTTGATGCCAATTAAAAGGCCTGATAAGAGCACCAGTGTGTTTACGTGTGCATGGGACGGAGAAGAAGAACAAGCAGAAGTAGAAGAAGAAGAAGAAGAAGAAGAAAAAGAAGAAGAAGAAGAAGAAGAAGAAGAAGAAAGTGGGTGGGAGGTCACAGCGAGAGAGAGAGAGAAAGTGTGGATGTGCGCACACATCTATTTATAGTAGGCTCAGAGCAGCTAGGGGGGAACGGTGTTTAGAACTTTTGTGTTCATGCCACTGAGACGGGTATGACAGACCAGGGGGGAGGAGGGGGCTGGTTGTTGCCTTGTCTGTAGGGTACTCTGTGGCCGCTGTGAGAAAGCACGTCTCCATCTTATGGTGCTTCTTTAACGTGACTGTGTCAGCAGTTTGGAGCATGAGAGAAACTTTAGTAATACAAGAAAGGAACTGAAATGTGCAGAGGAGGGGGACCGGGGGAGGTAGGGGGGGGGGGGGGGGGGACAAAAGAGAAAACTTGAGAGTGAGAGGGACTCTAGCGGCTGTCACATCCCATATGAGTTCTGATGAAACGGGTCCTTATGGAGTCAGGAGTGTTTCCTGTTTCAGAGGAGCACACTGGAGACCCTGTGTATGCACGAGAGTGTGTGTGTGTGTGTGTGTGTGTGGGGCTGGAGAGCCACAGCTCACTAAGCCCGGGCTCTCTCTTTACCCAGCATGCAGGGCTAAGAACAAAGTAAATAAACAGTGGAGGGTCGCGGGGCAGCCCTCTTTCACCCCAAAAACAAAACACTGCCCCCATCAAACACCCCTCATACCAGAACAAAGGCGCAGAGCTCGGGCTGCAGACGCTAAGCTCCCTGACATACGAGGAGCAATATGTCATTTTTGGACTTCAAAACCAGACAACTCCATAGCCAAAACAACCGGTGATTACAAATGTCGCTGCGCCGCAGAAATAGGATTAGAGATTGATTCATCATTTAAGAAAATGTGAGGGTGATGAATTGATTCCATAGTTCTCAATTTATCTACGTTTCAAATGGCAGCCTTATGTGGAGCCTGTGACCTCGACAGAACCATGAGAATAGGATTTTGCTGTATTTCCCAAATTGTTTGTTTAGAAAGTTTAAATTTAGAGAGGCAATTTACATGGAACAACAAATAGCAAAGTCTAGAAAAGTAAACTCTTCCTCTGATGAGCATTCAGGGACATGGGAGGGAAAATGACCTTCCAGTAAAATAATAATGAATGGCTGTATACGTGTGCAATGCATTTTTCTCTGCATCCTAATTAAGGCAGTTTGGAGAAAAATCTCTCTTCTAGTTTGCGTTCCGACTGAATTACATTCGGTGGACTCTGTTTCCTGTCGGGGGTCCCCCGGGGGAGACTCCTCTGTGAAAAGGATGGATTGAGAAGCACTTAATTAAACTAACAATGTGGCATTTCTGAAGGAGAAAGGAACACTTAAGATGTGTCAATAGATGTCCAGAGTGCAACTGTTGTGAGCCCCTCCAGCTGAGCCCCGAGCAGCCATGCAAAGCCGCGACAGCTGCAGAGAGCAGTCAAATACTTGTCAGGCCTCATTGGGCCTATTAAAAAAAAAAAAAAAGAAACAATTATCTGTACATTGAGTCCTGCTCCATCTTCTTACTATGAGACTCGGTGAAATCTATCCCCTGCTCATTGGCCATTTCCAACCCCACTAATCCCCCCCCCACCTCCTCTCTCCCCTTCTTTTTTTTTTTTATGTGTATATGTGCCGATAAAGTGCACCGGCACTGCCACAGTCTGATGTCACTCACCCGTCCATATCTGTTGGCATAGGAACCCGTGAGCAAGGAATGGAAAACGATGATTGTTTCATCCAGGTCCCAGATGAAAACTCGCTGGAGGAATTGGTGTGTGGGTGGGGGGAGGGAAGGGGGGGGGAGCGAAAAAAAAAAGCAAAAATAATGGTGGACTCTGTTGGGATTCAAGGGGATCTTCTCTGCTAAAAGGGCGGGAGAGTGTATTCTTGCCCCACAGGGACCCGGATTCACTTTTGTCGGGTGGGGCACCGCAAAACCCCCCCCGCCCGCGCCTCCCCCATCAGACCACGGAATGGTTGTAATACTCGGAGCTTTTTATTTCAGTCGATGACGTCGACCTCATAGATTACCACACAGTGTAACTCGGTGTGATGTCAGAGCCGTGGCGGGGGGGCTATTAACTTTGTTTAAATCCCCGTCATATTAATGAAGAGCCCTCTGAGCTTATTTTGACATATGGTCACCATCAAAGTGTTGCACGGCTCGTTTCTACCATTGTTAGTCACCGCTCGTGTCCAGTCTTTGAACTATTATTCACTTCCCCCGATGACTCACTCAATCAAAATCCTAATTGTTTATTTACGAGGTGTGCGCGACAACTTTATGCGTGCGCTCGCTGATGTCATATATTCCACAATGCGTCGCTAATGCATTTATAGTTTAGGAATCAAATATTTAAGCGTGAATGCCCGTTCGTGTGTGTGTGTGTCAAAGCTGGCAGCCATGTAAGTGGATCAGACGGGGCGAGGCTGTCCGTCGCCGAGGTAGTGTGCTCCTCCTACCTCAAGGTCAGAGTCGGGCGGTGGGGAAGGGTTGTTGTTCCTTCTTCCCCGGCCACGTGACTTTCCATCCGATGCCCGGCGCAATCGATCCGAATCTGAATCTTTAATGGGGGTTGATGGACTGTGGATGGTGCTGTACTCTACTGAGAGGAAGGAAAGGCGGAAAGGAGGAGAGTATGAAAAGAGCGTATCGGAGAAGTATTACTATATGCTTTTAGTGTGGGACCGATGACGTCCAGGGACATTTTTTAGTGTTTATGCAGACCAACAGGTAACAAACATGTCATAAATCACTGGCAGGACAAAAAGCCACGCTGCTCCTTACTGATTGAATAAAGAGGTAATGGACTACATGTCAACGTGATACATCACAGAGGTAATTTACATAAATTGCCAATTGTCAATGAAATGAAATTACAATTACAATAATGATATTATTTTAGTCTGATGTCTTTTGTCTTGATTGATGACCATTTTAAAAGCAGTCGCATTCACTTCTAAAAAGATACGATCAGCGCTCCATTGCGAGATGACGCATCGATGTCACATGAAATGGTGGAAAACTTCTACATCTGATCTGAAGTTAGATTTATTTGTGATCTGATCTGAAGTTAGATTTATTTGTTTTTGCTCGCTACAACGGCGTGATGGCGGGGACCGTTTCCTGAGGTCACGTTCTCTTATCGGGCCGCGACGTCCAGTCGGTGGGCCCGAGGGGGCTCGGTCGTTTGAAATATGAAACATGGCTCTCGGCGGGACCAAACCCCCCCGATATTCAGGTTACATGAGGCAACCTCGTGACCCCGGCGGTTTGATTCCTACCTGCGGGGTTCTCCGTGAGGGCCTGGCTGGTGATGCCGGTGGGCGGCTCCTGCAGGGTGTAGGTGGTGGTGGTGGTGGAGGGCGTGCTGGGGCTGGTGTTGTTACTCGCCATGTAGGGCGAGGTGTAGGGTGAGCTGTTGTAATACTGAGCATACTGCCCCTGGCCAAAGGCTGGATAACTGCCGTAGTCCTGTGGAGAAAGACGGACAAGGATACGGTAGGTTACACATGCGATGGAAATGAAGGGTAACAGAAAATAATTTTTATAAAAAAGAAGATTTGAGTCCAATGTGGTGCAAAAAGGAATACTTGGATGCAAACGCTTGAGGGAACCTAAAGGTAGCAGAGTTGAGGAATAGAAGAAGGAGGTTTGGCAGAGTAATGTGAGATTTGCCCTGCACCAGTGTTGCTACTTTACAGCGCAGATTCCAAAAACATAAATGCAAACACATGTCTGTTCTGTCCTACATCTGGACAACGATCTGTCCATTTTCTTTTCTTTCTTTTTTTTCCTCTCCCTCTCTTCTGCAGCATACTTTTGTGTTGGAGGAAGTGCAGCAGATAATCCTGCGTACAAATCTTTTCCCATCGTGACTGATGTACGTTTGAATGAGTCAAGGATGAAATGTAACATATTGAGTATGCTTGTTTCATAAAGATTTCCAGGTTGGGAAGAAGTCTGCAATTCAAACTCATGCAAACTCCTCGCTGCCTACTGATAACAGATCGCAGAGGTGGAATGAGGGAAGTGCACGGCTACCTGTTGTGTGCTGTTGAAGCCAGTGGAGTTTGTGAGGGAGTTGTTTCCCGGGTACAATCCCGACGTTGTTGTGAAAGTACCACCTTTAGGGAGAAAAATAATACTTTTGAGTGATGCATTAAATGGTGCTTTTAAATCAAACAACACTAGCGCATCTGCATTGCCGGCAAAGAGTGAAATGGCACATTGTGAAAAAACAATTTGAGGTGGTGGACAGAGGGGGAGGCCCGAGGGAGGCCTGAGGGAGCACCGGCCTTATCTTTCTCCCCTTCCTCCCTTATCAGCGATTGGATCAGCCCCCGATGAATGACAGAGGGGGGCGGGGAGGGGTGAGGGGCGGACAGAACCTGCTCCCACAGCCGTCCCAGCACAAGAGACTTCTGTGTGTGAGCTAAGAGTGGCGTGGGGTGCAAGGGGGGCTGGGGAGCTGGAAACGATGGATGGGGGGGGCGGGCATTGGCGGTCTTGTGAGACAGAGATGTATAGGGAAGGAGGGTGGAGGTCGCAGCGAGCAGCACTGGGGGTGTGGGTGGGGAGGGCGTGTGGGAGGGGGAGGGGAGTGGGGGGGGTATTAGCTGCTGACAACCAGTCCCAATGAATATGTATGTCCCTCTTTACACTTGTGTAAGGGATGGCCCTTGTGGGTGATTAAATCATTCAAAGGGGGTTGATAGCATCTAATGGCTTAATAATATACATGACATGAGTTACAGAGGAGAAGAGCAGCGGAGGCCCCCCCTGCTTTCTCCCCCCGAGGGCTCAACTGAGAGACGGAGCGCTGTGTGTATTTAACCTTAAGCACACAGAGCATTAATGTATTAATTAAAGCATTAATTTATTTTATTTGTGGGATAATATTCCGTTTTCAGCAATGTTTTCACAGCTTGTTGTTTGTGTAATATTGAGAATATAAAATAATAACAATAGTAAAGCTTTGGGCAGTTGTAGGCTTTTGCTGCCTAGAAACAGAGTTGTATGACGTTTTAGAGACATTCTACACATATTACAAGTGTCATTGCAGTTATTCAAAACTTTATGCAAGAAACGTTCATCAAACGTGGTAGTGTCATAAAAAGACACCAGATTTTTAAAAGCCCCTTCACTCAACAGCAATCAAGTAATCCTGAAGTTCCTGAAGCTCAAAAATATCCCGCAGTTTGAGTGAAAACCCAAAAAGGGGGTTTTGGGTGGAGGGGGGGTACATTCACTGTTCCTAAATGGGGGCGTAATTACACCTTTGTTCTCAGAGACAAACAGAGGGAGTTCCTTTCATCCTCTGGACATTGTCCCCGTCAGGAGAGCCCTCCCACACCGTGACCAACGTGAAGCAGCTTTTAGTTCGGGGGGGAGAGAAGGGCCACAGCATGGAAACCACGAAAAAGAAAAAGACCAGTGCAGTGTTCAGCCTTGCCAGTTAGCTAAGTACCCAGCGCTGCGGCCCGAATAGAGAAACAAATACCTCCCAAAGCTCCCAAGATTATTATATTATTATATATATTTGTGCAGCTCCTCACTCTCTTCTTCCAGCATTTACACACGCAGCACTTTTCCACCAAAGTTTTTAGTTTTTTCACCAAAACTAATGTTTCCCTTTGTTTGATTTATCAATGCAGGGGGAATTTTTCAAAGAAACATTGGTGCTCTCCACAGAAGGTTCTCACCACCAAGCGAAGGCCCGACAGAGCGATGCGACGGCGACCGCGAGGAGAAGGACAACAAGTCAACCCGAGGCCCGGTTCGTAAAAGCTCTCGTGGGTTTGAGGGTCGCTCTGTGGAGAACGAGGGGCCACATAAAAGCCGAGGGGACCCCCGCCAGCGGTGAGAATGAGCACATGCTGTTGCTGGTGGTGCTGGTTATAGTAAGAGAAAAAGGGGTGGGGTGAGGGGTGGGGATCTTGTGGTTTTCCCCCCGGGGGGCATGTTTTCTCTCCCTCCCCCTGTCCTGCTCCAGTTAGTTCACTCACTCAAGACCAGACATCATCCCTCCCTCCTCTCCTCCCTCCCTCCCTCCCTCCTGCCTTCTGGCTCCACAATTGGAAGTCCATTTGCTTTGCTTGATCAGTCCCCTCGCCGTGGGCTATGTCTATCATCAGCGCACAATATTTGTAGCAGAAGTTTGGATGCCCCACTTGGGAATAGGCTATCAAGTCCAGATGGGGCTTTTCCCTTTTAAGGAGGCGGCGGACGCGGCTTCAGCGACTTTAGCTCCCACCGCCACTGGGACAGAATGCTGGAATCCAATTATTCACCTAATTAGCGTCTGCTCGGTACCGAACCCCTTTACGACTTTACGACTTATTTCCATAAGTTGCATTGCAAGTGTCCCAAGCCAAAGTGAAGCGCACGAAACCCAACTCAAAACTCTCTCACCATTCGGTGCCACGACTGCATGAAAGCAAGGAGTAAAACCAATAATCTAATTGTCCTCCGCCTTGACAGCTGGCCACAGGCTGGTGGCGGGACACTGACATGGAGGCAGGGGGTTGGGGGGGGGGGGGGGGGGTTGTGGTATCAGATGCAGAGAAGCAGTCTTTGGTTGGGACCCCCCGGCCCGAGGAACCTCGCCCAGGCCGATTGATGAGCCAGAAAGAGGGATGATGATGATGATGATGATGGTGATGGTGTGCGGCAGAGGGCCACAGCCACAGTTAGAGAACTCACGGGCCAGAATAGCGGTCAATCTGTCACCCGACATCGGCTGTCAAATACTAACGCACTTAACGCTGCGTGGGGCGTCCGGCAGCCAGAGATGGCAGGAGACGGCGAAGGAGGGACAGAGTTGGACGGAGGGAAGGAGAAAGACAGCGGTAAGAGCATAATACCGAGGAGATGAATGGGCACATTATACTGTCATCGTGAGTTAAACCACTAAGGGCAGGACAGCAGCTCGAGCATTCTGCTGCACATGGTCCGTCTCGTCTCCTCGTCCGTCTCTCTCTCTCTCTCTCTCGCTGCCTCTTCTTTTTTGGGCCGTCGGCTGCGCGCCGCTCAACTCCGACTGGGGCCGATTGCATTTGATTTGGTTAAGAGGCGTGGAGAAGAGGCCTCCCCCGCGCCACATCTGCCGCTGAGCTGGCGTTATTTACTGTGAGATCGTTGCTTCCCAACGACAGGCGCAGAGGTTCCCGCTGTCGCACATTCCAGAATCACAGAGAGAAACGTGCTGAAGCGCAGGTGTGGCAGAGGCTTTATGAACCAATAGAAACGGTGAATAATAGAAACAGTATATGGTTGCAGACCTTATCTATATTTAAACAGAACGCAGAGAGAAAAAGAGGAGGAGGGCAGCACTTCTTTCTAAGGTTTCAACGGCATAAATCTCTATGGTCTCTGCTCTAAAACAAATACAAATATGATCACAGGGAGAGAAAAAACAAATGCTGGGGAGTGGGGAGGACATGGCTGGTGCCTCCTAAGTGCCTGCCATTTTCCCTCTGTGTTGATTCTTTAAGGGGAGCGGGGAGTGTGAGGGCCGCGTTGTGTTTAAATCGCTAAAACAAAAAAAGAGCACTAAACGCTAATAATAGACGGAAAACATGGCCGAAACACACAGGAAAAAAGCGTACACGAAGATGTCCTCACCCTGCATCTGGTAGCTGTAGGGGGCCTGTCCTGTCTGCGGCGTTGTGAAGCCAGAGCTGTAGCTTAGGAAGCCGGTCTGGCTCGGAGACTGGGACTGGGTCAGACCCCCCTCTGTCTTTATGCCTGCCCACAATGGACCTAAATCAGTTAGTGACACCAGATCGGTTTGATGCACAAACAACAGTCAAACACACAGCTTTAAATAGCACGGCCTCTGAGCGTAAGCATAACGGGTTTTTACAAGGTGTGAAGAAATATTATCTAACACTGGGTTCAGTCTCACTGCAAAGGAGTTGTCTACTTGGCTGTAAAGCCAAAAAAGATTGCTAGGATTGTTTTATTGAATGTTAGTATTAATGTCATTATCATCCAATATAGGTCAACTGTGAAAAGATGTTGCAGCAATAAAACATTCTGCTTGTGTTTGTGAGTTGAACTGGCCACTGCTCACATTCAATCCATCTCAATGGAGTTTCTATGCAGCGGTAGGTTGCAGGACTCCATTCAAATAAACAATGTCAAATTCCTCCACATATTAAACAGTCTTTTGGGGTAAAAAAAAAAAAGCTTTTGGACAAATACAGCCGCCGTGTACTGTGGGCTTTCCCTCGCATTGCTGGAGGAAAGTAGTTTTTGCTTTCTGATTCGTATCATTCGAACGGCTTGACGGGCATTTTCCGTTTTACTGTAACCAAGGAGAGCGTGCAGGCGCCCAAACAACAACTCAGCATCTCTGCCGCTCCTGCTTTGCTGGAGGGATTGTGGGAACGAGGTTTGTCATGCACACGGTCTTGAACCTGAACTTGAGGAAGGAAAAATGTTCAGTTTGCTTGCAACATGCATCTTTTAGCAAGCCAAGAGGAGGTTTTGGTGTGTGTTGAGAAATCTTACCGTAGGCCGGGATGCCGTAGGGCTGGCCGGGCTGGGGGTAGCTAGCATAAGCTGCGGCCTGCTGCATTCCTGTGGTGTACTGCGTCTGCCCATACGCAGCCATATTTTGGGATGAGGGGGTAGGAAGAATATGCGGATATGTTCTACTATGAGAGAAAAGAAACAAAAAGACAAAAAGTGAAAAAGGGAGGCAGGAAGAAAAAGGGAACATGTTTTACACCTGAAAGCATATCTTTTCTAACTGACAAATTCCATAGCATTGTGCTACTTCATCCATCACGGAGCCAAGCTCTGATAGCATCGCACAGCTCATCGAAATGGTGGACGAACAATAAATGGCGGAGGACATTTTTGCAGGATAATAATTAAAACAGATTTCAGTGTGCGCGAGCTGCAGACATCCAGGCAAACAAAGCCAGCCGGAAACCCCCGATCTTGCACAAGGATCTAATTAAAAAGAGCCAAATGAAGTTGGTTGCTGCTTATTTTTTAAAGAAAAATAAAAGAAGCCTTACTTGGAAGGGTATATCTGTGGGGAGAACTGGTGAGTTTGTCTTGGGCTGAAGCCACTGCTTCCAATAGCTGAGGAAAGTTAAAAAGAAAAGAGGCAAGCACATATTCAAACATCAAGAAGTAAGGTAAATATTTTCCTTCGCCAACAGAACTTCTGGATTCCACAGAAACATTAATTATACTATTGTATTTATTTCCGTAACCTCATCTAAGGTTGACGACCGCGGACCAATAATGAAGCAAAAATAATCAGGTAAGAACATCAGGTTTTTCTGCCGACCCCCGTATCTCTGAGATACTTCTGGGCTGCTGTGACGACCGCTGGTGTAAACACACGCAGGATGGTCTGAATCAGTCTCGGCCTGTGGCTGCAGTGGCCTCGGGCCTTTCAAGCCGCGACCACATTGGATGCGGCATCGCTGATTGCAGGTAATGACTGCTACTGCACGATCATTCCTTCATTAAGAGCACGACTACGTGATTCCACGGCTCTGTCAGGTTGCGAGGGTTCAGATGCAAGAAGCGTACAGAAGTACACCTGGTTTGAATCTGCATCAATAATCATGAAACACACGCAGTGGTCGTCACACTCTTGGGTGCATGTGTATTATATTCTTAATTTTACCTGTTCCAAAAAACAAATATAACTTTTGAAAAACAAAAAATGAATATAAACAAAATATTTAATTCCACACCCACAAAAGAGCCAGCCTGCCACTCTTCAATTATAAAATTGACAGTTGCATTTTGAAACCAAATCAATTTTTTTTTTTTAAATGGTGTATCTAAATTTATAATAGAACACAACAGCTGCACTTCAAATTAAAAAAATGGTACGTTTTACAAAATATCCACATCAAATCATGTTCATGCAACATTCACAGTTCTGCTGCATTACTTGTATTTAACTGCAGCGGAGCGATGCAGTTCTTAAAGAAACATCTGTCTAATTGGTCGTGACATGTAAAATAAGGGATTTGGTTGCGGGGGAGCGCTAACTGTATGTAACTGAATGCTCTAACCCCTCACACACGTTATTAATATTGAACACTTTTTCCCACATCAGCAGCACCTGCCACCCGACAAAACCTGCTCTTCTCAGCGCAGCTTTGGATTTCCCCGCCGAGGATATCAGGGTATAAGATTACTCAATTTCATTAATATTGTCAGAGAGAAAAGTCACGGCGGTGATTTATTCGCTTCTATAGTTTGGTGTCAAGTACTTAGTTAAACAGTTAAGGAAATACAGGACAATTTGCAGAAAGATAATACTATCCGCACTTCAATGCGTTACTATTGATACATGTTTAAAGAAAATAGAAGAGAGTGCGATAGGGCGACATAAACACCGGTGAGAATTGAAAAATAAATAAGCTGTTGGGCTTATTCCTTTGGACTCTTAAAGTGTTCATTATACTTTACGGTATTTATGAAGAGAGTTTTCTGTGTGTGTGTGTGTGTGTGTGTGTGTGTGTGTGACGTTGCCGTGCTGAGAGGAGGGTGTGAAAACCCCGACAGGCCGATAGGGTAACGGCCACTGGGACACCGCGTCACTCCGCCGGACGGACAGGTTCAGTCCATTACGGGTCATAATTCAGTCCTCATTGGCATGGGAACCACCGGGGTCAACAGAAACACACAAACGCGCAGGCATATGAATATGCTGACTACAGGGGCAGTGGTCGCTTGTGTATAAACACACAGACACACACATTGGTGTTTTAGCTGTAGGGACTCTTTGTGGGGCCCAGCTCATAGGTCACCCATCTCTAGGCTCATCTCTCACTAATCGGTTCTGCAGCTGTGTTTGTGTGTGTGAGGGGTACACGCACGCACACACACGCACACTCAGGACCAATAGTCTTCCAGCCTCACCTGATCCTGAGAAGCTGTCTAGAGAGGTGTCTGCTACTGAGGGGATGATTTCGCTGCTGCTCATTGGCTCGGTTTTAACTGCGGACAAAGAAGCCACAATTTCACCAAAATGCAACAAATCAAAGAGATCCGAGATTCACAATCGGAGGAATTCAGACTGTGTTTAAAAAGTTTTTTTTTTTTAAAGTGACTCAATTTAAAATCAAAACTGAACTGCAATGGCAGAAAGGTGAAGTCAAACCACGATCCAACAGGATTTACAATAATGGCAGAAAATCTATATGTAACACTTGTAAACTTGTAGCATCAAATAAAAACGACTGTAAATGTGTTGGAGTAACAGATTAAAAAGGGTTCCGCAGGGATGTATGACTACAATAGAAATGTCAAGGAAATATATGGCATATAAAATCTTTTTTAAGAGTGTAGCGAACGCTGTTTGACCTCCACTCCGTTATACAGCTCTGCAAAGATAATTTCACAGCTTTCTGACAGCTCAGGAATCTTTGAAATTAATCCGTTTCACTTCAGGCGGGCTGGAGGACTTTTTTTTCTTCCTCTTTTTTTGGCAAAACAAATTGACAATGTGGGCAAAGGAGTCATGCTCAGTGGAATCCTTAATGGTTGAAGAAGCTATTCGCTGTCATGTTTTACACGTTTCCGCTATGCTCGCTCAGCGCAGAGACATACGTTGACGTGCGGACAAAATCCTTTTGAAAAGCACACAGATGAAAGTATTGCGGTGAGGTGCATGCATAAACTAGGACACACTCAGGTCGCAGAGCACACAATAACCACTGTATTCAGGAAATGGCGTGGAACGACCAAAGGAAAACAAAATGCACAGTATGCAATTTCACCATTCGATAACAATGGAATCAAATCCAGTGTAAAATCATGCTTGAACAGAATACCACAACAGTTACAGCAAATTTCGCACGAGTTTCTGAATGAAAGGCACAATAGTTGAGGCAACTTGGAGGATAATGTATTTTGGGACTTCATAAGTGAAGTAGGTGGTAATCTACAAAAGAGCGCTTTCCTTCTTGCTCTCAGTTGAAAACGCCAAGTATTGTCCTTTCATTGCGTCACGGGGAGTAGACGAACCTGCAGCGGACTGTGAGTTAGAACCTAACAACCAGTCTGCAGTGGTGAGCATTGTGATGTTATCACCTACGGGAAAGAAAGAATGGCAAAGGGACACATGACAGTCTGCGGCACGCTTGCGGGTCCTGTGTCATGAATACACAAAGAAGTACACGCGGAGCCCAAAGCACAGACCGACCTGAAGCTTACGTGACGGTGGACGATGGCTCAGATTTAAGCCCAGGTGAATCACCTAAGTAAATAACTATGTACAGTGGAGACCTCATGCAAAGCTCGGCCATTTCCATGCTGTTGGCTTTGAATAATTACATGGTTACGTAAACACACAGCTAATAAGTCACAGGAAAGCAACTACTGGAAGCTTCGGACCTAAATTGCAAAGTAGCAAATACGAGGTGCACGTTTAATGCGATAACTGCGAAAAGTGTGTCGTCAAATTCGCCCCCCCAAAAAATGCACCAACGCCGCGCTTCACTACTTTCACATCCAGCGGTCGGTTTTACATTGAATGTTACAACGTCGCTTCAGTCACTTAATTTTTTATTTATTTTTTAAATGTAGAGAAGTTTAGAAGACAGAGCAACAGCACCGCAAACACATACCTTCAGTGCCATTGGGTGTCATGGAATTGTTATTGATGTGGGAGTTGTCGAGGTTGGGACCATTAGGAGACTCACTGCTTCCACTTACTCGGCTGTGAGGACTGGCTAGATCCTGCATTTCCATAGACCTGACAAAAACACACACGCACACGTGCACACGCCGAATCAAATTACACATATCACTCTGGTTTCAGGGAAGACACGCAAGCTCTGCTGCACAATGCAATGTGCGCATGAACGCCGGATTCAGTGGTCCAGATTGAGGAAAAGGGTTCAGGGTACCCAAAAAAAATCCATTAAAGCCAGAGTTAAAAATCATTGTTCGGTGCAATTTTACTAACGCCTGCCTTTTTTGGTGATATATTTAAATACTTTTCTTATTTTGATGTTTTTGTGTGACGCCAAATAAATATGTGAAAATGAAAGACGGATACAAGCCAAAATATAGCACACACACACACGCACGCACAAGCAAAAACATATTGAGCTAAAAAACAGCAAGCTATGAAATGGATAGTAAACATCTTGACATGACAGCTTCAGATTTCTCTCATTACAACACTGTCACTGCTAGTCACCAAGTGCACGCCATGCGTTTACCGTCAATTTGCTCCGGAGTATCTTTTTAGGCAAAAATCGCCGTAAGTGTTTATCGTTTTGTGTGCGGTATCGAAGACTGTTAACAGATGTTTGCTGGTTTGAGGCTACGCTTAATGTGCCTGTTAAAAGTGCAGCACTCTGCCTGATTGTAGGAGGCCATGCCTCGGTGATAGGCATACGAGAAGCTCACCGAGCATGTGTTTGCTCTGGCAAGCTCCTTAATTGTTTCTGTGTTTACACAAAAGACCACGCCACTGAAAACATTGTTCTATCTTCTCAATTGTGCGCTCAGAGGATTTGATCAAGTACGGGCGGCGGAGAAGAAAGAAGGCACGACAGCAATGGTGGAAAAAAAACAAAAACAACAGGCCACAAACTGTGGAGCCCATTTGTCTCCGTCACTGTTTCCATTGTAAGTTAATGAAATTAGGACAAAATGTTTTGTGTAGTTCTAATTATATCCCGCCGCTGTGCGTATCCCCGCTATCGATAAACATTGGCCTTTTACGCCAGGCCGCAAACATAAAGCTGAGTATTCTGAGTGCTATCAGATGGCACAAAGAAAAACAGATTCATCTGATAAAAAGATTCAATTGTGATATTTGATTATGTGCCTCTGCTCTATTTAAGATGCTCATTTTGTGATATTATAATACATTGCAGTACAGTTTGGCAAATTGACTTAATTTATTTTACAATTTAATTTATGGAAAAAAAGTAAGCTTCGTATAACAAATCAAACTACAATTTACGAGACAAAACAACCAGTAACAATATAAAATACACAATGACACTAAAGGTTTTTTTCCACACATCTACTGTAACAGAAGCCGAATTAGCCTTTTCCCAGAAGGACACTAATTTACAAACACCATAAAAATATCAGACTGTCCAAAAACACAACGCTACAGAGGCACGCTCACAGTTCCATGCACCTCAAGGATCAACAACTCACTACTTAATCCCGTGTTCGCCCCCTTTGCCCAAACTTCTCATTCATTTTCTATTGGCCAGAAAGTCTTCACCCTCAGCAATAAGACGACCCGCCAGGCTGAGCTGACAGTCGTTCAGCCGAGCTGCCTCAGTCGATCTCTGACCGCGTGTCTCTGCTGCCGCCGGCTCAGCTGCGCTCTTACCTGGACCCGGGCGAGTCCTCCCCAACTCCCTTTCTTCACTCTGCCCCTCCACCTGCCGCGGCATAAACAATGTGCCTCCTTGTTGCTGCGGCTCAACGTCACAGTCCAAGAGCCATCCGTGACACAAAAAGGCTTGTCTGAGAAAACATTATTGTTATTCTGGAGCAGAATGGGAAGAGAGGGCCAGCTAGTGGGGCGTGGGGGGGGGGGGGGGGAAGTGGGGAAAAAAAAGGGCACACTGTTTCTCTCTCTCTCTCTCTCTCTCTCCGAACCCCTGTTGTTTTCTCCCCCCGGGCCTCTCCCCCCCCCCCGAGCCAGGAAAAAACTCGGGCAAATTGAGGAAAAGGGATTTTTCATTGGTCTACGACAGCTGCCAACTGGGATAACCCTCCCCCCATCAACATGCAAAGCGGCTTAACCCAAGTAAACAAGAAAGGGTGTGTGTGTGTGTGTGTGGGAAGGGGGTTGGGTGGGGGGGACCTGCCCCTGCCCCTGCTGTCCTGCTTGAGCTGGAGGGAAGATGGGACTTGTTGAGCAAAGACAAGTCAAGCGAGACGCCCGTAGCATCTTCAGCAGATCTCTCATCTGCAATTGACACTATCTGAAATTTATCAGCACTCCCCCTCGCGGCATACTGACAGGCCCTAATGACCGTCAGGGCTGCTTCCCGCGGGCCTGCCCGAGCCTGGGGGCCGCGGGACAGCACAGACACACGCAACCTCCTCACTTCACAGCCCGTTCACGGGGGGCAGAGAGGCAGAACGAGAACTATATATATATATATATATATATATACATATATATATATACACACACACACACACACACACGGATACTCTCACACAGACATTTTTGTGCGCTGTGGAAACACAAAAACTCACTCTGATGTCCTTTTTTTTTTTTGAATGTATTTTTCTTCAGAACATAGAGACTCATAACTCACGTCTTTATGTCTGCACGCATTCACACACGCACACACACACACACACACTTTTACACAGGCCACTTCAGAGGCCCCCAGATCGTTTTTGCAAACACACACACACACACACACACACACACACACACACACACACATGCACACACATGTACACAGGGCACTTTAGAGGCCCCCGGATCAGTGGTGCATCTCAGACAATGCAGGAGACTGGAAACAAGAACACGGAGAGCATATGGAGCCACATATGTTTCCTATGACGCTCTGAATGCCTCTATTACTCTCCTTTAGCTGACAGTTGCATTTTGCTGTGTCCACTCCCGCTCTGCTCGCCTCTCTCAACACATCAAGCGGGAGGGGGGGGGGGCGTATATACTTGCATGACTACAACACTACATTACACCCGACTGCAGCCCGCCACGGCAATACAGGGTCCAGAAAAAGGTCAAAGACATTCAACTGGTCAGAGAAAAAGGAAAAATTGTCTTTTAAAGAAAAGAAAAAAATCCTAGCATGATTTTTTTTTGTGGTTGCCTGTTTACATGAGCTACGGTAACCTGAGCTGCATGAGGCTTTTTTTTTCCAACAGGATTTGCGCTTCACACCAAAGCAAAGCCTTCATGAATACCATTCCAGCTTTATTCCTGCTCTCCCACTGCTAATGGTGCAGCCTTCTTGGGAAAAGTAATCATCGCATTTCATTTTTCCCTTTAGCAGCTACAGACAACAGCAATGTCTCCGCTCGACATGTCCCAATGCTAAAATATGCACAGGGCAGATAAAATGAACAAAGTATTCATGGCAAAAAAAAGTCCACAGAGTTAAAAGCCGTGCAGACGAATTGTGGAGAGAGTGGGTTGCGTGTGTGTGTGTGTGTGTGTATGTGTGTGGTGGCTGTTCACCAGCTCAACCCAGTGAAACGGTTGCCATGATGGCGTCTCCGCCGTTGCCAGCAGGTGGAACGGGCCGGGTGAAGACAGAGGGGGGAGGATGGGAGGAAATGGGGGGGATTTAAAAGCACGAGCCTTTCTTCGGTGCCGCTAAATATTTATTGTTTTAAAAAAAAGAAAGGAAGAAGAAGACGAAGAAAAAAAAATCTCTTCGTTTCAGCATCTTTGATGTGCTTCCCAGTTCAACCTGAAACTGCCGGGTTCTTTGAAGCCAACAAGAACAAAGCCGGACTAAATGAGGCGCGAAGTGTCATCAAGAGGAAGGGGTAGAAAAAAAAAAGAGAGTGCCACAACACGCTTCACTCATGGTTGTTTGCCGGCCCCGTTTGTTTCGCTTTACCTATTTCAAGACCTGCGTCTCCAAAAAAGGTAAACACGGCCGAGGTCGTCTCAGCATCCAGGCCGCCTGACCCCCCCCCGGTCGCACGGTCACCTTTGCTACATATCTCCATCCTATGACTTTTCTCGTACTTAAGATCACCACCGCAAAATGAAAGCAAACGTGACGTAAAAAAAAAGAAGGGCGAGTAAATATGCATTGTTTCATTTCCGCTCCCTGCGTCACCCTCGCTTGATATTCATTTTATAGCACACGGTCCACAGCCCATGTAAGCCATGTGTTGTGAGTTACAACTTTTAAAAAACAAGTGCTTTAATCAAAATCTAACTTTAAAACAACTAATCCCCACTTAAGCTGGTCAGCTGAATCCACATGGTGGCCCAGGAAAAATAAATCCACTCTCAAAGAATGTAGATGCAGACAACAATTGAACACAGATGTGAGTGGAATTAGGCGCAGTTTACAAAATGCTACACTTCACTTGTGTCTCCCTACGTCGCCCGAAAAAAAATAACGGCTGCCAGCAAACGTCACATCAAATGGCCTGGTGATATTTTCATCCTAAAAAGTGAAGTATTTTAGAGCAGCTTTTGCGAATATAAATAAAGCGGATGGAGATGAACCGCACCGTTCTGCACTTGGTACAAGGATTAGACGCAAACAAATAATAAAAGCACACAGTGTTTCACACGTCATTTATGATCTTCCACTTTCACAATTAAAATCCTAATTATCAACAGATGTGCTGCGTGTTGATATGCAATTTGTCTCTCATTTGGCCTCACCTCACATGGTGCTCCAGCAATTCACTCAATAGCTACGTTAAATCTGTTAATACTGTGCTCTTCAACCTTCTAAATTATTTCCAGAAGGCTGCTGCGCCTTTGAGGGGCCATCCAACCAGATTTAAGGTGCACATTTTATCACAACCTGCCTACCAGCGTGACCACCGCAGAACGCCACAGGCTTCACAGCACAGAGATGACTCACAGTCATCAAAGTTAGCTGTTATTCTTATTCCCTTAAACCTGATGCAGTAATTTGTGGTTTAAATGTTAATTATAATTTAAGGAGTCAGAAGCCATTTTTAAATTTTCCATGTCAACATAGCAGACGGAAATAAAGTTGCATTTTTTTTTTTTTTTTTTTTAATTCTCAAGAGGACTTTAATGATATGTGATCAGTCACGTCTACATAGACAGATCTTCAGTACGACCCCTTTGAATAAAATGCATGTTCAGGCTTCCTTTGCAATTGCAATTTACAAACAAACACGCAAATGGGTGTCAGTGAATGAGGACCTGCCATGGCAACCAACAGAAATCCTCAGAGCTCATTTCCTGTTCTTTCAGACACACACTCCAGATCCAAACAGTGGAGTGTTAACAAAATAACACCCCGCAGTATTTGGTAAACAACCCCTGCCCACTAATCACCCGGAATGGGTTACTTAATAGGAAGTCCCTTATTTCCTCCTTCTCTCTCTCTGCCCCCCGGACCCCCCCTCTCGATCAATTAGCCCTCGGTGTCTTTCACCGTTTCCAATCTCCTCCCTGAGAGAAGAGCTCGGCTGGCCAGACGCCTCTATTCGGCAGGCATCGGGCCTTGGGCAAACAATGCCACCGTCACCGCCGACCACTCCCGCTTGTACACACTGGTGCACATGCACGGGAGCGCCGCGGCCGGGCACAGAGACCCTGGCGTAGAGCAAATAACACAGTGCAAACAGCCCCACATCGGCCCCGGGCTCATTATCTGTTAATTGGATGAATAAAAAGGTCATTGTGCGGGTGGAGCGGGTTGCGGCCGGCGATCACACGCGCTGTCATGTTTGCCCTGCGCCGAGCGGAGGCCAAGCGGTCGGGCTAACCAGCCCAACCTCTCCGCTTCCTCTGTCTTTCATCTGCAGACACACACCTTTGTAAAGCAGGCGCTTTGTTGTTTTTGCTTTTTTTTTTCTTCTAAATGACAGGATTTAGAGGATGAAAAAGGAAATAGGGAGGGCAAAAAAAAAAAAAAGATAATTTCAGAGGGATGAAATGCCCTCCTTTCTCTCTCTCTCACACACACACACACACACACACACACACACACACACACACACACACAATAATTCACTGACTTGAACATCCTTCAGCTAGAGAGGCTTGTGATCACTTGTGACTCATCTGCACTACATGCGAAGTGCTGGCGAGCGGCGGGGCAGCGCGGCCCGGGAGTGGAGGCCTGTTGTCTCGGTCGGACGGCGAGAGCCCCTCAGGTCTCCTCGCAGCATTCCTGGCCTCAGCAGATGGCGTTAGATGTCAACTGCTTGAACTGTGTTGGTTGTGTTTGTTCTGCCAGTCAAAAAGGGGACTCCTGCCGGGAGCGGCGTGTTTTGCTAGCCCGATCAAAAGTGCAAACCGGAGCGAGCAGAACAAGATCCCATGTTTTAAAAAAGGGAAGGCGGGACACGTTTGCAGCTAATATATGTCTATCGTGCAAACAAAATAGTACTTTCTGTTTAAACAATGTAATTCCTGTAATTAACGGAGATTTATTTTTAGGTGGTTGCAATGTTTGGGGACGTTTTTGTTTTATAATTACAGACAAATTGGACTGTTGCATTTAAAAAAAACTATTGGACTAAAACAATGTATTACAAAAACAGAACGTCATCATACAATCATAAAATGTATACCATCAACTGCTATTTTAATTCTTATTGAAATGATATCTCATTACATTTTTTAATTAACTTTTTCATCCCAGATATCATTTACATTTACCCTTACTTAAATCAATTTAGAATTAAGCAAAGGCAATATAATTGTTTTGATATTTATCTATCATGTCAATAAATTACAGCTGACCAGAGACAATTAATGCCTTCCTCTCTGCTTGATGTTATTACCCTCAATGTGCATTTTTAACAGCTTAATAGAGTATTACAATTTTTAGAATAATAACCGTATAATAGGTGTTTTTTTAAATTCTAACAATTAATGACAAGACAAGTTGAGAAATTAAATGGTTACGCCTGCTGTTCTGTCTATATAAATACTATAATTAAAATAAATATCTTAAATGAAATGTGTAAAATAAAAGAGACAATTCCTCACACATACATACACACATTGAAATACAATTAAAAAAAGAAAAAGAATAAACAAGACAGTTGACAAAATAATATCCCATACAAATTAAAACCATACTCACTACAATTTTGGTCCTTTTGCGTTTATCCCGTCTTACAGCTTCTTTTAAAAAATGATCTTCTACGGAGAGATCGTTCAGTCCAGCAGAACAGACGGCAAACTTTCTGACAGTGTTGGTAGAATCTGTAGCACAATAAATGTAAACTACAAGACTACTTTTTTCTTTTTCATTTTAGGTGTTGGAACCCATGGAGCCCCGCGCCGTATCTCAGGAGACCCGGACCGAGTGAGAAGGAGAGTTGTCCGATTACTGCTGCGGGCAGTGACTAGTGAGTGTCTGAGGAAGAGGGGAAAAAAAGAGAGAGGGAGAGAGAGGGTGGGAGAGAGAGAGAGAGAGAGAGAGAGAGAGAGAGAGAGCGAGGGAGGGAGAAAGGCAGCGAACGACGCAGAGGGAGGCTGCTGCCGTTTCTGAGAAGCGGAGAAGTTGCTCGGTGCTCTCTCACAGGAGGACTTTGGGTCTGGAGGAGAGTCGCGGGGTTGGAGGTTTGGAGGAAGCGGGGGGTGGGGGGGAGGTTAAGGGGGGAGCCGTGCCTCACACCGGCTCCCCGTGTGTCATCCGCACACAGCTTTAAGCAACACGGCCCTCTGCAGATTTTATCAGTAAAGACAATGAAACGGCAGATCTCCCGCCTGTCTACTGGAACGCTCGCACACCCTCAGGGCCCCCCACCCCTCACCCCCCTTCTCCTTTGTTTTTGTTATGCTCTTTCTTCTTCTTCTCTTCTTCTTTTCTCTTCACCACAGCCTGCATATTTTTTTTTTTTGCTCTCTCTTGCGAGTCTCGGGTCGCTGCAGGATTTCTCTTTCCGACGGAGGGACTTTTGAGGGTAAACAACGGGCTTAGGAGGACACCAGCTTAGGTGATGGGGAGCCCGAGGTTTAACGGCTCCGTCCGTCCGTCCACCCGCGCGGCAGACTAGTGGGAGTCCTCCGTCAGCACGTACGCGCCGCGTCTGTGTGCAAGGTAATGACTGCCTTCTGTCTGCTCCAGGTTATTATTTCAACTGTGCGAAGCTGCTTATGATACACAAGGCCGGGCCGCTACTGATGAGCTCCAACTGGTGATTTATCCAAGCTGCCGATGACGCTCGTGCGGCTCTTGCTTTCAAATATGTCATGACTACTTTTTTCCCCGGGAATACAAGTTCTGCGTAATGAAGAGTTGGGAGGTCAATGGACCATTTAGATGTTGTTTAATTTCAACATGGGGGGAAATTCCGACTGTAATACTGAAAAATGATTACCAAAGAAGAGGAAATCATACATTTACTTCGGTAAAGAGGTGGTGACAGAAGAAGAACACCCACGGCTGCAAGGATACTACACAGTGGCAGCGGCTGGCCTACGTGTGCCCAGCTCGTGCGTTGTAAACTACTAATACTACCAATAAGAAATAAAGAAAACAAATCATTCTAAAAAGAACTGATGAATTACTCAATTTCCACGTGATGATCTCGGGAGTCCACGTCCCGTAGTGGGAGGCAGGTCAACACCGACCTCTGTAGCCGTCGTCATCAAGGGAGCTGACAGAAATAGACCCGAGCCGCACCGCTCCTGCTTTTAAAACACACTGCAGTGATGATGCTTGAAACGCAAGCGCTACTTCCTTTTTCCAAACCGGCTGCCCCGCAGGTAAACACGCGGGCTCACCTTTCAATATCAAAGTGACTCGATCGGCTAATAGATGCTGGGGGACTCTCAGGTAACTAGTTCTGATAGCGGAGGGGTGCACACGGCCGTCGAGTTGCTGCATTCGCTCTGTCACTCTCTATTTCAACAAGCAGCTGCGCGAAATTAGTTTGAGATGTAATTTTGCAAGTGAGTTATTTTCAAATTGCACAGCATAATTATCCAGAGTTGTTTATGTCTCGACCACTGAACTCAGATTTTCCTCGTCCTCTCCTGCACTGTGCGTTTGGAGTTGAGGCTCCAATCAGCCGAGCAGCCTGACTGCTGGTGTTTTGGCGCCGACTTTTTCCATGTTCCGCGGTAATTCTATGGATGAAGGCTGCTCAATGCAAACAATCCCACGTAAAATGATTCCTTTAATCTGTCAACGTGTTGCCTTGTTGGGGTCATTAAGAATTATTTCACAGTGGAAACGGTCACAAAGTCAAATACTGCATTTTAAGAGGCCCTACGATGTGTTTAAGATTTAAAAAACCTTATGAAATGCATTAGAACAAAGTATATTTTCTATTTTCATAGACCAAGAGAGCCGTTGTCAAACTTTTAAAAAAGACGCACCGATGCTGTTCGACTGACATCAGCTCGAAATTGTCGCTTGGCCAAAAACTATATCAAGTGAGAAATTCGAGAAGTGGGCTAAGATTAAACGTGAAGCCGTTCTTTATTGAGGATTATCTAGATGGGACTCAATGGTCCTCATGAGGGGTTTGCAGGGGATGCCTGCCTGCAATTTAGAGTGAGGAGAGATCGGCGCTGTCCTCCACTGCCAACAGGTTATCCACTCAGCTTCTCACACGCATGAAAATAAAACTCACTTCCAGAGGGCTGGTTCTGTCTGGAAGGTACAGAACGGAAGGCTAACGCTCCACCAGCTGGAATGGGAGCGTTCAGCAGGTTTTGGGGCCTTAGCTGCTGTGAGTTTTTCCCTCTGTTGGTCCACAAAGGGGAACATCTCGGCAGAGGGAGTTTGCTTATCTTGACAAAGGGTACATAAACAGAGTGAAAGGTGCAGGAACGGTGTGACAGCGGATCAAGTGATTCAGATGAAACAAAACGCTAACACCCTGGTGACAAAGTTGCAATATTTTCTTATGCATATGTGCCGCAAATATGTTTGGGTAGAACTACTACAGTGTTTATTCAATGTCACACATTCACAGGGATCGAGTTCCCTTTTTTTGACGTAAGTCTCAGCGGAGCGTTACACTCCAAAACTTCCCCCTAGATGGGAATCTGAACTTAAAAATAACAGTTTTTATATATTTACACAGGCATTATTAGGTGAAGTGTTCACCCAAGGAGCAAATACTAAAAAAGAAAAAAAGCTTGACTACACAAACCTGCTGCCCTTCAGCCTCGCCCCTGACACAAGTGGGACATTAACTTTAGCTGGATGGCAATTTGTCAAAGAGCTGTGGAAGTGCTCGGCCCTGGATATTCCCGGGTTGAACGACCGAGCGACGGATCCTGGGCACCGACGACCAGCTCGTTCTCGGCGCCATTCCATTCCTCCGCCGTCGCCCACCGTTTGCGTTTTCTCATTCTGAACACAAACTTGAAAGAAACTTCGCATTGCGACGACAATCAAAGCAACAAACAAAAAACAGACAAAGTAATAATTTTGAGGCCCGGAAAAAACATGTAAGCTTGAGTTTAAGATGTCTTTCTGCACGTGGTGTTCAAGTATAAACAATATAACATTAACCCATCTATCCGCCGGGCTTTCATTAAACACGAAAGAAAGACTTTGATGATGACAAGTTGCCGCCACAAAAAAGCTTTTTTGACGGCGCAGACAGATAATTTTGAAGTCCCTCGAGGTAAATTAGTAGCGAGTCGAGCGCTTTCAAGTGGTGAATGAAAGTTTCGAGTGAAGCCAGAATCTCTCGTAAACAAACATCAGGTTGGCCCGCCTCACCGGAGGAGCAGCCTGATAGAAGTAAACACGGCGTACCTCAACACGAAAATACGGCGGCGCTGGGAACAAATGAAATGGTTAACCTCGCTGGGCGTCATCGGCTTTGAGCGATCAGCGTGACCTCACTGCTGCGGCTACTGAGACTCTTTGAAGTAACACAATATCGGTTTGTGTAAAGCACAGAATAGATGCGCACAGAACTTACAATGTTTTCAAGGCATTTCTCTCATGGTTGTTGAGTGCGGGTATTGGATTAAAGAACACTCAGCAGACACATTCATTCAAGCGTGCGCCGTCAGAGACAAGTTGTACTTTATGAGGGGGGGGGCACACCTGGAGAAAGTCTACGAGGACCCCGAAAATCCTCCGACAGACACTTTATTGCTCTCCGATGGGCCCAAACAAGCCAAACAAGCACACTTTAGAGACCTATTACTCAGAATGAGACATCACCATGGCTGGAAGTATCACCGCGGGCATTACACTTAAAATATATAGCCTGTTAAAGGAATAACAAGAGTAAATTCACCTCAGTGAGTCACATAAACGAGGTCCGGCCAGTATATTTGGGGACGTACATTTTCCATATAATCAAGATTTGAGTTGTGAATAAAGGGATTTAAGAAAGACGAAATAAGCACACGGCTTTTATAAAAGAAAAGGTCTCTCATCACAAACGTGTGCACGTAGAAACAATTGCTATATGAGGGAAGAACCACATCAGTCACATTTTGTCCTTAAGTCTCTCATCAAAGAGTAAGTGCACACAGTTAGAGAATCTCCCCACGTTTATACAACACATATTTAAAGCAATTCTTTTGAAGCGCCGGGTGAAGCCATCATGTGAAGTAACACCAGTAACTGTATTTCTCTGGTTATCTAGTTTTTTGTTTGGCTTATGTTTCATTTAACTGCTTTTGTTTTAACAGAACAACACAGCTTTCCAATAGTATCAGTGGATAAATGTCTACGCCTTTTTCATTCAGTACACTGAATTCAGTGTTGGATGAAGCTTGTTGTGTTTTGAAGTGACAAGTTCACTGGATGATACAGTTTATATTCTCCTTTGCACTATTTCCTCAACGCCGCCGTGCAATTTGACAATTTACAAACAAAACACCGGACTCAAAAATCAGTCGCAGTCGATTCCTGCATTTGAACCGAGCAATCGTCTGCCTCACGAGCTCACTCTGAACGCCGATGCCGAGGACTCGAGTTGAGCGGATTCCACGGATTGAGGGTAGACTTCCTGGTAGTATAACGGTATTCTGGTTTTAAGACAGATACTTGTCAGCAACGGCACTAAATCGAAGTCAGCCGCGCCCTAAAATACCGATACATTTGGGAGCTAAATTTTCAACACCCCTCTAAATGGCAGCATTTTTCAGGGACGCCCCCTTCCAACGACTGCTTCCGCAGCCCGGGCGGCCAGAAATGCGGCACTCCCCGTCTCCGCCGCCGCAGCTGCCCGCCCAGTTGGGCCCGGGTCAGCAGAGTGCCGGGGGGGTGGCCGTGGCGCTCTTCGGCAGGCTCCCCGCGAGGGAAGGAGGGGCTGGTCATCGCCGGGGGAACTCACGATCCACCTCACCAACAACTCCCGGCGGGTAAGAGAATAAATGCAGCAGGTTATGGACTTAACTCCCGCCTTGCAAACACCACCACCACCATCCCCTCAGGCCAACCCTCCGTTCCTGTACCCCCCCACCCCTGACCCCTCTAACTCACAGCACCCCCCCTCCCCCCACACCTCCCTGAGTCACTCACCAAACCCCCACTAGTCCAGC